CTCTGCACTTTCACGTTGGAACAAGCCAACAAACTTTCTCTGTCCTCCCCCTCATCCGTCTCTCTCTCTCTCTCTCTCTCTCTCTCTCTCTCTCTCTCTCTGCTTTCCATCTCTTACTGTATACATTACTGAACCCACGCCTGTTCGCCTTCGCTGCACCAAGTCTTCACTTAGTACTGTTCACTGTGCGTGTGTGTGAGGGGCATGCTCACGCAGAGACACACACACACACACCCACACACACACACACACACACACACTTGGCCGTGTACACAGATGCACGTGCGGACTCTCAATAGAGTTCAGAGCAGCAGTTGTCTTCACTCCCTCGAGCTTCTCTCTGGTCCAAACACATTGGTACTCCAGTGTGTGAGAGTGTGTGAGAGGTGTATATATGATGTGTGGGCGTGTGACAGGATATGTGTCAACCTCTAGTATGCCACAGTGTGTGTGTGTGTGTGTGTGTGTTTTTCTTCCAACCTTCTTTCTTCTATGTTACCACATTACCGCCGTGTTGCAAGTGACACTGCGAGATTTCGGCCAAACAGGAAGTTACGATCACACGATTCCCACAGGCTGGCAGCGTATTTGTGGTGGTGCGTGTGTCTGTGTTAAGATTTATTTTTCCGATATCAATACATTGTGGAAAATATGCAAATGCACCTCAAATCTTCATATTGATAGATTTGTTGTTTTCACAACTTTATCTGTCTCGACAGTGAAGGGAATACATTTTGTACTGTTGATTGGATAAAGACAAGCAATTTTATGCAATTATCTTTAGAATATTCTTAGAAGCATTTTTCACTATTTTCTTAAACAATTAATAGAGAAAATAATCAGATTCATTGACAGTGGAAATAATCGTTAGACAGTGTTTCCCATAGGAGACTATGGTGGGTGGACCTCAGGCATGCTCCCCCAGAAGAAGATTTTGTGCATTTTAAAGTTAAATGCAAATTAAGAAAGACCTTAGTGCTCTTGTAAACAATGTTGTGCTATTGTTCTAGCTGTAGTAGAACGTAACTACGGTTCACCACATCTCAGATGCTTCATCCACACAGTGTTTTTCTGTCATCAGTCAGTTCTAAAAAGTGGAAACGTGACACTGGAGTTATCTGCATAGTCTAAGTTACAGTATATGTGTATCTGAAACTTAGATAGAGCACCTGGTTGCATAAGTGCTGTAGTTGTTGAATGAAAGAGAATAATGCACATTTATCTACAATTCTCTTCCTTTACAATTTGCTATGTTACTTCCATACTGTGGACAACTTGCCACATCCGACAGCTACATCCTTCTGTCCGTCCTTACTCTCTGTTTTTCATTACCTGTGTGTCTGCAGATTGACCTGGAGCCAGAGGGAAAGGTGTACGTCGTTATCGACCTATCGGGATCTTCAAGTGAAGGTAAGACAACTCAGACTTTTACATAAAGATCAGGGTCAACTCAGGGGCATCCCAGGGCAGCTAACGTGTATGAAACACAGACTCACTGCTGTTATCTCTTATATATCGGCTATCCTTTGCTCTCTTCTTTCCCCTTTTTTATAACGACACAAAAGAGCTGTCGCATATCGGTCACAGAAGCTTTTAGTCTAAAGTGACACTCTCGTTTCAAAGTGTTCCCTCCTGTCATTTATCTGTCGATGGGGACTGAGGCAGTAGGATTTAGTTTTCTGTTGAGCCCTTTTGGCTTTAAACACTAATAGTAGCTACTGAGTTCCTCTTATTTTCACTCCAGAAAACTGGAGTTACCACATTCAGAAATATGAAATGCACAACTTCTATGAGAATGTATGTGGAAGTTTGTGACTTTTATGTGTTTGAGCAGCGTTTGTAAGAGCTTTCATAAACTTTGCAATGAGTTAGTATTGCATCATGAACTTGTAAGAGTAGCATATCTTATTCATACCTATATGAAGAAAACACAGATTACTTGTTTAGTTTATATTGCAGTCAGTTTTGTAACCGGTAACACTTTCTTTGCCTTTTAAGAGGAGAACATACATAAAACCAATGTGGATTAGTGTGTGTGTGTGTGTGTGTGTGTGTGTGTGTGTGTGTGTGTGTGTGTGTGTGTGCCTGTGCAGTAAAAGCTTTGTAAAAGCTCCTTTGTGTGTTGAGTAACACTTCCCTGCTGCCTCTTTCTCGGCCTTCACATCTGCCTCTCACTTCAAATCAATTACCCTCAGATTCATTTGACTAACACTGTGTTGCTCCAGTGCTCCGGTCTGTTTGAAATAACTTTAACGTTGTAGTTTTAAAGTAGAGCATCTGTGTGTCACACTGTGGCCATGTGAAGTCTTTCAGTCTGTCACTGTGTGACCGACACCATTGCATCAGGAAGCAGACATTGTGAGTTTCCTGTGTATTACTGCCATACGGTAATGAGAGACATGGTGTCAGGCAGTAAGTGCTGCTCAGCTGAAGTTTAATGATGACACAGAGTTCAGTGTTTCACTCTGAGCTCTACCATCACCCTCATTTTTTTCATAATGTGAGACGTTGTGGTGAGAGAGAGCCTCGAGGCGTAATCTTCTCCTGGAAGTCGCTTCATGTTCACCATTAATCCAAGATGTTACTTTTTACAAGCATTGTGGTCTGATCTAAGACAGATAAACACACACACACACACACACAAAGTGGTGCAGCAGGACCATAAAACTCACGGTTCGGATCGTATCGGATCGTATCACTTTGTTAAAATAATTCATAGTGTTTTTTCATAAAGGCACACAAATGATTATAAAACAAAATATTGCATTTTCATTGATCAAATCTTGTAATTAGTAGTTTTAATGATGTATTATAAGATGCTTAGAGCTAGTGTAGATAGGTCATAATTCATCTATTTACGGCGACGGTGGCTAAGTGGAGAGCAGGGCCGTCCTTCAATCGGCGGTTCGATCTCCTGCTCCGCTAGTCGCATGTCGATGTGTCCTTCAGCAAGACAATTAACCCCAAAATTGCTCCCGTAGCTGTGCCTACGGTGTGATAGAATCTGAAGTCGCTTTGGATAAAAGCGTCTGCTAAATGACTGTAGTGTAATTTATGTTGTTTTGACAACATCTCCGTCAAACAACTGGAAAAATAGACCAGGGTATGCTTTAGGGCGTGGCTATATTGTGATTGACAGGCCCCAATCAATTGCCTGCAACTGAAAAAAAACAGCCTGAACCACCTTAAACTGAACAAATCTGTTTCTAACTTCACCAGATGTGAATGCCTTTTCCATCTTGTGTTGGGTCGAAGTAGCTGTTGCTCCAGAGAGGACTGATCTGATACCGAATTTGTTTTGGTGTTCGTGCATCTGTGAGTGTATGCATGTGCACCAGATTGCGTGTTACAGAGACATGACCGAATGGAAGAAGAGAAAGACAGAGAGGGAGCTAACCGGAGGTCACAGGAGGGGGAGAGGGGGTTGATAAATTGATTAGTAAAGTGGAGTGTTCTCTAATGGACCAGTTACATCATCGAAAGAGAGAGAGAGAGAGAGAGAGAGAGAGAGAGAGAGAGAGAGAGATCAGTACAGAGTGACACAAAGAGGTGTCATTAGGAAGGGACTTTTCTCTCTTATCAATTTGTTCTTTAACCTTTATTAGATTTCTTTCTGTCTGCAGTTTCATACAATGTATTTATGTACCTGTGTGTGTGTGTGTGTGTGTGTGTGTGTGTGCGCACGCACGTGTGTGTGTGTAAGAGTGGATGAAATTGCAGTCATTACTTAAATGTGTTTGCATTGCAGAGAACACATGAGTGAACTGTCAGGCCTGAGAGCTGCAATCAACCTATTAGCTTCTAAACACACACACACACACACGCACACACACACACACACACACACAAAGCTCTGTTGTCACCAGGACTGGATGATAAGCGGCGGCCTGTTGAGTTGTTTTCAGCTGTGAGAGTATAATACTGTGAATATAACAAAGCTTTTGGTTATTCATGGTTGATGTTTAGAGTACTTTTGGTTATTCAT